ACTCAGATTTCAAATGCCACGTTCTTCATGAAACATTGTATTGCTTACGAAGTTCTAATTAAGTCAGGTTTCTCAAAAAGAACCCCACATAATACCAAATGCAATGACTAGTTCTTAATTAAATCCTGGTTTGAACAAACCAGCTGTAAGATATTTTGGGGTCAACTGAGGAAATTTGAGTATGAACTGGGCACAAAATTATATTAGGAAATTATTTTTAAACTTATCAGGAATGATAACGTTATCATAGTTATATAAAAAGTCATTATTTTTAGACATGAAAATGAAATTAACAGATTAAATGACATGATAGCTCAAAAATGGATGAAGAAAACATGAGAAAATGGGAAAATTTGGTAACGGGAATGCTGTAGATGTTTCTGGATTATTCTTTCTACTTTTCTGTGCATTTGAAAATATTTCTAACCAAAAGAGAAAACAGGAGCTCCAAAAATTTTTCTTGCCAATAAAAATAAAACATATTCACTAAAGAAAATCTGGGGAAAAGGAAAAGCAACACAAATAGAGAGAAACCAATATCCTACCACACAGAGATAATCATTTGTATTATGATGCCTTTCCTTCTACACATTTATAAACTTAATTCTTTTCTTTATTTATTTTTATTGACACATAAAAATTATATATATTTTATGGTATACAACATGGTGTTTAAAAATATATAATTATTTTTATTTTACAAAATTGTTATGGCTCTGGACATATAGTTTTGTACTGATCCCAGATTTTAAAAGGATATATACAAAAGATAGAAAGAAGCACATAAAACCAGGCTCGATGGCTCACGCCTGTAATCCCAGCATTCTGGGAGGCCGAAGCGGGCAGTTCACGAGGTCAGGAGATCAAGACCATCCTGGCTACTCAGGAGGCTGAGGCGGGAGAATGGTGTGAACCGGGGATGCGGAGCTTTCAGTGAGCTGAGATCGCACCACTGCACTCCAGCCTGGGTGACAGAGCGAGACTCCGTCTCAAACACACACACACACACACACACACACACACACACACACACACACACGAGAATGCTGTATTTTGTAGATATGTTATATGTAAATAAAAAGTTAAAATACAAAAAAAAAAAAAAAAATGGTGCAGACAAACCTTCTAATCCTTCCAGAGTTACATACCAGCAGTTAGTTCTCTAATAATCCTAGATCCCACAGATGGGCTTTTCAATGGTGCATTTCAAATGGTGCATCCCAGAATCACTTGCCTCTTTGCAGTTTCCAGCATTTGTAGTTCTCACCGTGGGCTCTCCAGGCTACTACATGCTTTTTTCTTTTTTAATTTTTTCTGAGACAGAGTCTTGCCCTGTCACGCAGGCTGGAGCACAGTGGCCTGATCTCAGCTCACTGCAACCTCTGCCTCCTGGGTTCAAGCGATTCTTCTGCCTCAGCCTCCTGAGTAGCTGGGATTACAGGCGCGTGCCACCACGTCCGGCTAAGTTTTCTATTTTTGGTAGAGACAGGGTTTCACCACGTTGGTCAGGTTGGTCTCGAACTCCTGACCTCATGATTCACCCACCTCAGCCTCTCAAAGTGCTGGGATTACAGGTGTGAACTACCACGCCCGGCCTACATGCTTTTTGAAGGGAATCACCAGCCTGGCCAACTGGGATCACCACAGTCATCAGCCATGCCACCTGGGCCGTCACTGCTGCTGACCCATCTTGCCCGGAGTCTCCTGCCTTGCTCTACCCAGAACTCCCCTCTCTTAAAGTTCCTCGTCTACACCGTGTCACTGCTCCTCTCTTCACATGCCTTCTTGCCAGTGTTAGCTCCAACAACATGACCCTCTTTCTTTACAGAGATATCATTCAAATATTTTAATTATTTTCATAATCATGTGTAATATTAAATATATTTTAAGTAAAAAATTGCTACACATCCTGTCACAACAACACAGCTGATTTTACTTTTATATTTTTTCATCTCTGTTGAAATTTGCCCATATTTCTTACTGTGGATATTTTTATATTGTTAAAATCTTACATACTATTACATATTTTTGGGGGGTTCCATTTTTTGTTTGTTTTCTTTTGTTTTGTTTTTTGTTTTTTTGGAGACAGAATTTCTGTCACCCAGGCTGGAGTGCAGTGGTGCAATCTTGGCTCACTGCAACCTCCACCTCTTGGGTTCAAGCGTTCTCATGCCTCAGCCTTCCAAGTAGCTGGGATTACAGGTGCATGCCACCACGCCCAGCTAATTTTTGTATTTTTAGTAGAGATAGAGTTTTGCCATGTTGGCCAGGCTGGTCTCAAACTCCTGGCCTCAAGTCAGCCGCCCACCTTGGCCTCCCAAAGTGCTGAAATTACAGGCGTGAGCCACCACACCCGCTTTGAATTCCATTTTAAATGGCCACATTATATATTATATGTATTCCAAATAACTGAAATACCTTTTCCATTGAATTCCATTTTAAATGGCCACATTATATATTCCAAAGAACTTAATGTCTTTTCCAAGGACTCGAAATACATTGAAACTATTCACTGATTATCAGATACTCTGTATACTTTATTCTACAACCTGATTTTTGCACCTCATATGTCATGGACCTTTTTGCAAGTCAGTACATATATTTTCTATGTTATTTTAAATGGCTGCATAGCATTCTATAGTAAAGATATATTTTTTCAATTTGTAAATTCTTTTTGATTTTTCAATTTGTGTAACTTTTTCATTTTGAATCATTAATACATTCTATGCTGCAAAAAAAAGAAAAAAGAAAAGAAAAAAGAAAAAGAAAAAAACCAGAAAGAATAAAATGGCACACAGTGAAGTTTCTCTGCTCTCTTTTCAGTTCTCATCACCATTCCAGTTTGTAACCTCCTTTCTTACTTGATGTCTTACATTTCCTTCCAGAGTTTATTTAGGCAGAGGGAAGCAAACACAAACGTTATTCCTTATTTTTGTTTTCTCTCTTTCACTTTAACCAGAATGTAATATATTGTATCCACTGTCCTTCGTTTTGCTTTTTTGTTTTTGTTTTTGTTTTTTTTGAGACTGAGTCTCACTCTGCCTCCCAGCCTGGAGTGCAGTGGCGCGATCTCGGCTCACTGCAACCTCCGCCTCTCAGGTTCACGTCATTCTCCTGCCTCAGCCTCCTGAGTAGCTGGGACTACAGGCGCCCGCCACTGCGCCCGGCTAATTTTTTTGTATTTTTAGTAGAGACGGAGTTTCACTGTGTTAGCCAGGATGGTCTCGATCTCCTGACCTCCATCCCCCCAAAAAAAAACTGATTTCTGGAAGATCATCTAATAGAAACATTCAGCATCTTGGTCTATTTCTCTATCCTCCCTGCTCTAACATCTGAAAATGAGCACCTACTCATTCACTCACTAACCTCTTGTAAAATGACTTCTGCCCACCCTACCCTCTTCATACTAAAACTGATCTCCAGTGTCAACCTGTTAATGGCCAGTAATCACCCAGTAACCTGGCTAAGTGACTACCTTCTTTAACCTCCACTCTTGCTGCTCCTGTTATGCCTGCTTGTCACCACAGCCTAACCCCTAGAGATTCTATCTTGCCAATGCCTTCCCTTCTATCCTTTCCTAACTATCTATTATTCTATTACTCCTAAATCAGTTCCTCGTTTCTGATTATCTGGATGATAAGCAGCATGCTTCTAACAAATCTTTCTCTCTCCAGCTTCTTTCCCACTCTAACTGAAAACGTGGGTTTTTCATCATCCTTTTCTTCAAAACTCTTATTTCCAAGTCAATTAAGCACTAACTCCCCAATCTGATATTCAATTACTTCCACAACTTTAACACAATTCCACATGTAACGGCATCGGTCAGCATTACGTCCCGCTGCTATTCCAAGCATACCCTGTGCTCCAGCCACAGCAGTCTGCTTATTTTGCACGAAACACATGGCCTGCTTCTACACCTCCAGGCTTTGGTTCACCCCTTTTTTTTTAAATCCACCTGGATTATGTTTCCCCTCCATCTCTGCTATTCTAAATCTCATCCTCCCCTAATTTCACTTGTCACGCTGTCTTCACTAACCTTCTACCAAATGTATTATAATTATTTGTGCAGTTATTTTCCACACTGGATTCTAAATTCCGCTAAAACGAAATACTGCACTGCCTTTGATGAGCCTTTCCATGTGCCAGCCATGTGTTAAGTGAGCTACATGTATTATCTCATTTAATCATCACATCGACACCTAGGTCAGGACTCTCCCATTTAACACTAAACAAACTGAGGCTCCGAGAGATTAAGGAGCTTGCAGCTTTCACGCAGCGAATTATGGTGGAATCAGATCCCTCCCCGAGGTTCACGCTTGTATTAGGGTAGCCAACACAGTATATTCGCCAGCTACACTGCACTCAACCTGTGTATGCCGGATCAGCATGTTAAAAACGGTGTCTGCAAGTAGACCAAGGGAAGAGGGGCTGCGAGGGCGGGAAGTGACATAGCAATGAATTAGGATGGCGGGATTGGCGGTGATGTTTCCAAATTTCCACTGTTGGGTTGTACAGTTTTTGAAATAAGCATTTAAAATATATGGTTACTAAACAGGATTGCATCTACTCTTGGTCTAATTGCTAAGTGTAGGTTAGTTTTGTTTCCCTGATTTTATTGTCATCCCCCAGGGATTGTTTCTCTTCTGCCGTGTTCCCAGAGCTTTCGGCGCATTGCTCAACACACGGTGTGCGTACTTGTTGATTTTAATGTATGTGTGTTTGCATATGTGCACAGCAACTGGGCAGCGGACGTGGGTGTGGGATGCACTGTGCATTCCTTCTCCTCATTCTTGTTCCTTTGAGCAGCTGCAGCCTGAATGCTTTCCCTTTGGGGTAGGGGAGAGGCAGAACCGCTGACCCTTTAACAAGTTATCCCTCACAAAACAGGTGTCTCCCCCGACTCTCAGTGGAGAGGGATGGCTGGATACTCAGTGACATCAGCCACGAGCCAATGGGAAGTCGGGCTCCAGCCGTCGCGCCAATGGGCGTCCGGGGGCGGGCCGGGTTTCCTGGGCGCCGGGCTGGCCAGGCTGGTCCTGCGGCCGCGGCTGAGTCTCCGCCGCTAGCGCTGCCCACCGCGGCTCCGGCGGCTCTAGGCGCAGTTCCCCGGCCCGCGAGGCTCGCGGCCCCCCGGCTCGAGCGCCTCCCGCCGCAGCGCAGCTCCCCCGCCGGCCGGGCTCCTGCGCGGCGCGGCTCATGCCCCCGGGCGCGGGGCGCACAGGCCGGCCGGCCGCCACTGGGAAATAGGCCCCCGGGGGCGGCGGCGGCGGGGCCATGGCGCGGAGACCCCGGGCGCCGGCCGCCTCCGGGGAGGAGTTCTCCTTCGTCAGCCCGCTGGTGAAATACCTGCTCTTCTTCTTCAACATGCTCTTCTGGGTGAGTCTCGGGGTCGAGGGCACCTGGGCGGCGGGGTCCACCCGCGGGGTGGAGGGGTGGCCCGGAGTGCCCCACGCGCGGGAGCCACACTGCCGAGTTTTCTGGGCTGACGGCACTTCGGGGGAAATTCATCCTGGGGAGGGACACCCCGGGGACGCCGCATCTGCAGGGGGCGTTGTAGGAAGGAGGGTATGCCAGGGAATCAGTGAAGACTGATGGGTATTGTCGGGGTGTCGGAGGAGGGTCTGTGTCAGGCTAGAAATGTAGGTTTGAGGCAGCCTGTTGGCCCAAGGCGGACCCACTGGCACATGATGGGGAGTCGGCGGTGGCAGGTGACTTTCAGGCCTGGGGGCCTGGAGGCCTGGCTGGCAAAGAAGAGGAAGGGAAAACCCAAACCTCTCTCTCCACCACTTCAGAGAATATGGGTTATGGGCATCATCTCTTCCTTTTGCAGGCTTCCTCTACCCCCACCTACACCCCCCCAAAGTCTGGGAAGAATCGCCTCCAGGCACAGATGTCTTGCCTATCCCAGCACTGGCCCAAACTTTGCCCCCTCCCCGCCAACCTTCTCAGGACCAGACTTCACCCCTGGAGCCTGACAGTCTCCAGTGTCTTTAAACAGGACCCCGTGTTGGGCCGGAGGGCCAGGAGTTCTTTCAGAATCTTCTGCTTGGGGTGGACAAAGTACTGGGCTGGGACTCCGGACACCTGGATTCCCATCCCACTCTGCCGTTCACTGTTGACTTGACTGACCTAAGCATGTTATGTTCATGTCTGCAGGTCTTGCCTCCCTCCCCCACAAATCCAACCTAGTGTGATCAGGGGTGGCAGAAAGACTGCTGAAGCTGAGAACTGAGCTGAACCAGATCATGCAATGCCAGCTCGACCCTGTTTCCTGGCTAGAGAGTCCTGGAGGTTCTGGGGTGTGAGAACATAGGGATGTCCTTCCTCCATTCACCTCCTCTTCTGGCTCCTACCACACCAGAGCTGCTGCTTCTGGAGCCCACCATCCTTCCCCACTTCAGCTGGAGACCTAAAGTTCAGACTTACAGGAGGGAAGAATTGAGTCTAAAATATGTTTCCTAGGGGAGGGAGCAAAACAGACATCTGAGCCCTTTGCTGTAAAGGTTTCACAGGGCCTGTGGGGTGAAGTGCAGACACAAAGCACATAAGTGCTGGCCTGTTGGGACAAATGAGAGAAATCTCAGAGGGTGGTGATGACAGCGCACTCAGCCATCATACTCCTGGGGAAAATGAAACTTGGGCTCCTATCAAATGCTCAGTTTTAGAACTGGAAAAACATTTTAGAAGACATCTTGTCCGACATCTGTGTTTATGTCTATAAAATGTAGAAAACTAAAGCACAGAGATGTTAAATGTTTTGTCCAAGGTCCAACAGCTGGTTAGCAGGCTTGGTCTGGTGACCTTTCTACTGAACCACAGTGCCTCTGGGGGAAGTCCTCAGCGCAGATGGCTGCTGCTATAGCTGGGGTATTGGCAGTTTTAGGAGTCAACCAGTCAACCCAAGTTCCCATAGTCTAGGTTCTGCTTCAGCTGGAGGTTAGGAAAGAACACGAGAAAATCCCTTACCACTCTGCCAGTGCTGAGAGTGTACTAAGAGACTCCCCACCTACGGGCAAGTATCAGTGAAGTCTCCTCTGTGCTCACTGAGAGTGCCAGGCCAGTGACGTGCCATCGTCAGAGCCAGCACTAGCATCTCAGGGACTTTAGGTCATCACTCTGACTTCCTTTATCTGCCGAGACTGTCTCCCTTGGAGCCATCGGCACCTCACCCTTGTCTGTGCTTGCCAGTGACAACAGCTGGGTGCATCTGTTACACTTGTGTTCCTGGTCTTTTTTTTTCTCTCAAGCTTCCCTACCCCTTACCTCCACCCTACCCCCCTTTAATCAGATAAATGACTTTGAGAGATCTCAACCAGGAGAGAGTTTGGCTCCACAGACCCATTTACCTTGGTAAAAATGGTTCATTCAAAGTCAGAAGACCCGGGTGGCCAAGCTAGCACCACCCCAAATTAGAATAGAGCCCTTCTTGGCCCTACAGTAGACTCATAAAAAATCAGAGGCTCTAGAAATAGCACACTGAAGGACAAGAGGCTCAGCATCTTTTTGGCACCAACTTACTGTGTGACCCTAAGCCAATGTATCTGTCTCTCTGACCTTAATAATCTTTACTGTGTGGACCCTAAGCCAATGTATCTGTCTCTCTGATCTTTAATAATCTTTCTTTCTCTAAAGGAGAAACAATTTCTGCCTTAGTGAACTATTTAAGGATGAATGAATCATTTGGGGACTGTCATCTTTTTTTTTTTTTTTTTTTTTTTTTTTTTTGAGGCGGAGTCTCGCTCTGTTGCCCAGGCTGGAGTGCAGTGGCAGGATCTCAGCTCACTGCAAGCTCCGCCTCCCGGGTTTACGCCATTCTCTTGCCTCAGCCTCCCGAGTAGCTGGGACTACAGGCGCCCGCCACCTCGCCCAGCTAGTTTTTTGTATTTTTTAGTAGAGACGGGGTTTCACCATGTTAGCCAGGATGGTCTCAATCTCCTGACCTCGTGATCCACCCATCTTGGCCTCCCAAAGTGCTGGGATTACAGGCCTGAGCCACCGCGCCCGGCCGACTGTTTTCTTTCTTCAAGACCTGGAGCTGGATCTAAGGATGAATCTCCCTGTGTCCTGATTGCCCTTCCTAGGGGACAGTACTTTTCAGGTCTTATTGAATGTCCCTTCTCCCCCAAACCCAGTGCTGTACAGGTATATTCCATACAAGAGCAGCTGGGGAGAAAGGGCTGCTTCCCCAGATCAGGGGGCCATCTTTCTTCCTAGCCCCTCTTCAGGGACTGGTTCCCATGCTTTCTTTTTTGTAGACTTCTATCACCCTAATCAAATTCCGCTCTTCTGCCCAGGAAACACCTATGGATGATACGATGGTCAGCCCACACCCTTGCAGGCAGAGTGCATGCTCTGACCAGCTTCTGGAGTGGCCACGTGGCAGTGGTTATTATGTCTGTGCCTGGAACCCACTAGGAAGGTGTCTGGCATCCTCTGGGCTCACATTCAGTGGTGCTGGTGGTGATGGTGGCTATGTCTGCTCTTGCTCTAGAAGCCCTGACTCTTGGGGCATTTGGAGTCTGACTCAGAAAGCTAATGAATTTCTGGGGATGGGGACCAGTTCCTACTGTTCGTGTTTCAAATCTCACTTCCCCTTTGACCTGGGAGTTCTGATTTTCTTCCCTGAATCGTGTTGCTGGGTTACTGACTGTGGGGATTCCATGGCCTGGAGTAGCTGCTCTAAGATCCTAGATGTTGTATTTAAATCAGTTAGGGCGGCTACAGAGCAGCTGCCTCTCCTCACCTCCCTCTGCAGGACAGCTTCTTACAGAGAAAGACATTGGGGTGGTGCCTGCTATATCAGCTTGGCCATGTGTTGTCAGGAACATACAGTGCCGCCCACCTCCTTCCTCACTGGTCCTTTTCCCACTCAGGGCAGCAGTTGGCTGGCTTTTGAGTCAGGCAGAGCCCAGAAGCTCAGACCTCCAGCCCCTGTGTCTCAGCCCAGGCTTCCCTAGCAGCTATGCCTCAGGACTCCCATGGCACCTTCTGTATTCTTCGATTGTCACATCCCTTACCTGTGCTGCAATTGTGTTTACTTCTCCGTCTTCCCCTCTAGATTTCGGGATCTTGAGGCTGAGCACAGCCCTGTTCACCTCTGGATCCCCGGTGCCCAGCTGTGTTTGGCATAAATTGGGTGCTTATTGAATGTTTATTGGATGGCGAGTGAGAGCGCAAACCCCACAGGGTAGAGGCATGGTGTCCATCCTCCCTCCCTCATGGACACTGGCCTGTAAAGATGCAGCTCAACCTGGGGTCCTTGAGCACTCTTGGTGATGAGGTACCCAACTGTGTTCTCCTCTGTGATGGGTCTGGTGGCCTGGCATCCCTTCCCTTAAGCCAGGTCAGAAACATGGCAGCCATCCCCTCTTCAGAGCCACACGTATGTACTGTCTACAGCATGTGGATTTTCTCCCTTCCACTGCTACATATATGGACCCCCGTTCAGGTCTTCCCTAGGCTGAACCAAGCCATCGGTGGGGCCTCTTCTTCAGGAAAGCCACTCTCCCATGCAGGACTACTGTATTGGAGTCCTTGGGCACTCAGAATCACCCAGACCACTCTCAGCACCATCTCTTTTTGTCTGGCTCAAAAATCATGAGGACGTAACCAGGCATCAAGCCAGCCAAAACCTCTTCTAAGTGGCAGGGGCCCTTTCTGCCATCCAACCTCCTCATCCTATACTTCCAAATACACTAGGAGGCAGAGCCCATCACCTCCTTCCCCCCGTCCCCCATCTTCCCCGTAAACTTGGCTGGCTTCAATAACTGAAGATAGTCAGATGCTTTTTATAAAAACAACAAAAATTACAAAATATGGGAAATGAAGACAAGAACCATCTCCTTTGCTATGCAGGTCGCATGCACACCTTCTTAACTCCCCAGCAGCTTTGTTTGCCTTGGACCAAGTAGAAAACCATAAACTTAAAGCAGCCTTTAAAAAGAAAAAAAGAAGGCTGGGCACAGTGGCTCATGCCTGTAATCCCAGCACTTTGGGAGGCCGGGGCAGGTGGATCACCTGAGGTAAGGAGTTTGACACCAGCCTGACGAACATGGTGAAACCCCATCTCTACTAAAACTGCAAAAATTAACCGGGCATGGTGGTACACACCTGTAATCCCAGCTACTTGGGAGGCTGAGGCAGGAGAATCACCTGAACCCGGGAGGCAGAGATTGCAGTGAGCCAAGATCGCGCCATTGCACTCCAGGCTGGGCGACATAAGCGAAACTCCATCTCGAAAAAAAAAAAAAAGAAAGGAAAAAGAAAACATAGAATGCCTCTCAGATCTTGGTAGGAGGCTAGTGCAAGGCCAGTCCCTCCAGGGCTGTGAGTTTGAATGTTTATTTACTGCAAGCCCTTGCTAGACCTCCGTTCCT